TCATTTTTAAACAAATAAACCCAAAAAAACGAAAAATAAAGAAAAATTTTTTAATAACATGTAAAAATACATTTAACTTTTCGCCCCAGGGTGCGTTTTTGGCTTTAACAACAAATATAAAAAATCTGACTGAAGATATTTAGCAAATACCTTCAGGTATCTTTTCAGGGGACCCAAATAATGAAGTAAAAAAATCGCGATGAGAATAAATTCAAAAAATATACTTAAAAGTTGATATTTTCTTTTTCGAAAAAATTTTCAAAAGTAGGTTGAAAAAAAACTTTCAATATCGACACCACAAAAATAAACAGAATTGCACACAACTCCGGACATTTATTTAGGGTGATAACACCCTTCTATAATTAAAATTACAATGCTCTAACTATTTTCGTTCGAAAGATAATGAATTTTAACGGTTTTGGCAGTTTAACTTTTCGCCCCAGTCTCCCCTATTTGTTTATTTATCTATTATTATTTATTATTATTCTTACTTTTTAGAAATATTATAATGGAAAAGTATAAAAAAAAGTAATGTAAATTTTTAATGATCAGAAATTAAATAAATAAAAAAATTATTTTCCATATAGAAACATTGAATAACAATGTTATTTTTAAAATTTTCAGTTTAAAAACAAAGATTTTTTTCAAAACAATACTTCTATAGGTAATTATGAAAATCATCGATTTCATTTGGAATTTTTTTCATGGATTTAAAAACCTATTTTCTACCAAATTACGCGTGTGTTTCGAAATCCACCAATTTTTAAGAAAAATGAAAATTGAAAAAGGTCAAAATATTTTCTGTCCGCTTTTATTTTATGACCGTTGAATTCCTTATAAAAAATTACTTTAAAACTAATTTTGTGAAATATTTAAATTATATTTTTCATATACTTAAAAATATCAATAATAAAAATAACAACAAAAAATTTTTAAAATTATAAATTTCATAATTTTTTATTATTTACTTCTTTTTGTTTAGAAATTTTATTTGTTTAATAATTTTTTCATAAAAAATTTTCCTTTATTGTTTTAATACTTCTCCATAATAATATTTTAAAAAAGTAAGTAAAATAATAAATAATAATAGATATAATAACAATAATAAATAAATAAACAAATAATAAATGTAATAGTAAACAATGAGAGTATAATTGACATTTAATATTTTTGTTCCTCACGTTCATTTCTACTGTACTACGCAAACGGTGCAACCTGATATAGTCGGCCATGACTAACCTCCCATATGGAGCTGTCAGTTTGCTATGTTTTGAAAAACGCGGATTGATATTCACGCCCACAGAAACATCTAATCGTCATAAGAAAACTTGTTGAATATTCTCTGTTAAATATTATTTTTCCTTAAATCGCCCTTTTTTCATTTTCAATCTGGATTTATTTTAATTAATTATCAAAGTCAAAAAATTGCATCAAGAGTGCTGAAAAGAGGGGAAAAGAGTGGAACATGAGACGCATGCATATCCCCTAATCACCAAGTCGTCGAATGATCAAATAGTCGAATGCCAAGTAATCGAATGGACAAAACGTCGAATGCTAAAAACATCGAATGGACAAAACGTCGAATGCTAAAAACATCGAATCGGCATTTAGTCGAATGTTCAAAACGTCGAATGATTAAAACGTCGAATGCTAAAAACGTCGAATCGTCAATACGACGAATGTTCAAAACGTCGAATTATCAATTCGTCGAATGTTAAAAACATCGAATTGTCAATACGTCGAATGTTCAAAACGTCGAATGATAAAAACGTCGAATGCTAAAAACATCGAAGCGTCATGTAGTCGAATGCTAAAAATATCGAATCTTCACTTAATCGAATGCTAAAAACATCGAATTCTCAATTCGTCGAATGTTCAAAACGTCGAATGTTTAAAACGTCGAATGCTAAAAACGTCGAATGTTCAAAATGTCGAATGCTCAAAACGTCGAATGATAAAAACGTCGAATGCTAAAAACTTCGAATCGTCATTTAGTCGAATAATAAAAACATCGAATCGTCAATACTTCGAATGCTAAAAACATCGAATTGTTAATTCATCGAATGCTTAAATCATCGAATTCTTCATTCGTCGAATGTTCAAAACGTCGAATGATCAAAACGTCGAATGCTAAAAACGTCGAATTCTCAAATCGTCGAATGCTCAAATAATCGAAACGCCATCTGTTCGAAATGTCAAGTAGTAGAATGGTAAAGTAGTCGAATGGTAAAGTAGTCGAAACGCCATCTGTTCGAATTGCCAAGTAGTAGAATGGTAAAGTAGTCGAATGTTCAAAACGTCGAATGATAAAAATGTCGAATGCTCAGAACATCGAACTGTTAATTCATCGAATGCTCAAAACGTCGAATGATAAAAACGTCGAATGCTAAAAACATCGAATCGTCAAAAGTTCGAAAAAGTTCTTTGTCTTCAGTAGACATTAACTTAAAACAAAGAACTTTTTCGAACTTTTGACGATTCGATGTTTTTAGCATTCGACGTTTTTATCATTCGACGTTTTGAGCATTCGACGAATTAACAGTTCGATGTTCTGAGCATTCGACATTTTTATCATTCGACGTTTTGAACATTCGACTACTTTACCATTCTACTACTTGGCAATTCGAACAGATGGCGTTTCGACTACTTTACCATTCGACTACTTTACCATTCTACTACTTGACATTTCGAACAGATGGCGTTTCGATTATTTGAGCATTCGACGATTTGAGAATTCGACGTTTTTAGCATTCGACGTTTTGATCATTCGACGTTTTGAACATTCGACGAATGAAAAATTCGATGATTTAAGCATTCGATGAATTAACAATTCGATGTTTTTAGCATTCGAAGTATTGACGATTCGATGTTTTTATCATTCGACTAAATGACGATTCGAAGTTTTTAGCATTCGACGTTTTTATCATTCGACGTTTTGAGCATTCGACATTTTGAACATTCGACGTTTTTAGCATTCGACGTTTTAAACATTCGACGTTTTGAACATTCGACGAATTGAGAATTCGATGTTTTTAGCATTCGATTAACTGAAGATTCGATATTTTTAGCATTCGACTACATGACGATTCGTTGTTTTTAGCATTCGACGTTTTTATCATTCGACGTTTTGAACATTCGACGTATTGACAATTCGATGTTTTTAACATTCGACGAATTGATAATTCGACTTTTTGAACATTCGTCGTATTGACGATTCGACGTTTTTAGCATTCGACGTTTTAATCATTCGACGTTTTGAACATTCGACTAAATGCCGATTCGATGTTTTTATCATTCGACTAAATGACGATTCGATGTTTTTAGCATTCGACGTTTTGTCCATTCGATTACTTGGCATTCGATTATTTGATCATTCGACGACTTGGCGATTAGGGGATATGCATGCGTCTCTGGAACATGGGGAGAAATCGCTTGCTACGCCTATGCGTACTTTTAAATATTTCCCACCGTGCAGCGTCCTTAAGTGCGCATGCTCCGTTTTATACTCTTGTTACACTCGAGTGTAGCAGTGTAGCTAGCGAGAACAAACCTAAAGGCGCTTGCACACTTCCAAAATTTTGGGCGAGCAGCGAATTTTCATGGCCTTGAAACTCATATTACTAAATATGATTGGCTCTACAAAAAGCTGCGTGAAAATGTACTTTGTCAGAGCCAATCATATTTAGTAATGTGCATTTCAAGGCCGTGAAAATTCGCTGCTCGCCTAAAAATTTGGAAGTGTGCAAGCGCCTTTATACAGCGAACTTAGGCTGCGGTTACACCTCTGCAGGCAGCCTGCCTGCCTGCAGGTTGTCATGGTAACGTACAAGAGTAAGAGAGTCAGTGACTTCAAACTTCTCCCTTACTCTCGTTGCTCCTGCCTGCGCAGGCAGGCAGCCTGCAGAGGTGTAACCGCAGCCTTACTCCTCCTGTCTCTAGTCTTCTTGGTCTATACGGTCTATACTCATTCTATTAAGGCCAACGCAGAATAGAATCTTTAACCGGAACCGCAATCGTAAGCGTAACCGTAAGAATGAGTTAAAGAAGGATATACGGAAGCGCCTATACGCCACTGTAACCGAATCCCGTATGTGTGCATAAAGTAAGGTACAAATACAAGAATTGCGTGCGAGGGACCCCCTTAGGCTAGCTGAAATTCCCTAGAATAGAATTAATTGCGAGCGAGCCTACCCCTTAGGCTAGCTGAAATTCGTTAAAATTAAACGACTGTGTGAAAAGGAGGTTATGTTTTCTTTCCTGAAACATTAATTAAAATTAATTTTTTTAAACATTTCTTTTTCACAAATTGAAAAAAAGAAATCTTGTGAGGTAATAAGTTAAATTTATTTGGAAAAAAAGTAAAATAATTTTGAAGTTAAATTGATAATGTGTCTACAATTATTCTGATCCATTTTACAAAAAGAAAATTAGTTGTGTTATTTATGGGAAATTTTAAACATGAAATATTTATATTTTTTTAATATATACATACAAATATGTAAGTTAAAACAAAATCGAATTTTAAAAAACAGACCATTGTAGAAACTATTTAATAAGAGTTGAAAAATTATTAATAAATTAATTAAACATAACTTTTTTACAGAGCTAACAATTATCAATTTAACCTCAAAATTATTTTACTTTTTTCCAAATAAATTTAACTTATTACCTCACAAGATTTCTTTTTTTCAATTTGTGAAAAAGAAATGTTTAAAAAAATTAATTTTAATTAATGTTTCAGGAAAGAAAACATAACCTCCTTTTCACACAGTCGTTTAATTTTAACGAATTTTAGCTAGCCTAAGGGGTAGGCTCGCTCGCAATTAATTCTATTCTAGGGAATTTCAGCTAGCCTAAGGGGGTCCCTCGCACGCAATTCTTGTATTTGTACCTTACTTTATGCACACATACGCGATTCGGTTACAGTGGCGTATAGGCGCTTCCGTAAGGATAGGTATATTGTTTATCCTTCTCTAACTCATTCTTACACTTACGGTTACGATTGCGGTTCCGGTTACAGATCTATTCTGCGTTGGCCTTTATGTACACAAAAACAATTTAATTTTTGTATAAAAAAAGTATAACTTGCCCAATTATAGGATTGTTTTAATGAGCTCCGAAATCTTTTTTATATACTTTTCACACGTAAATTAAAACAAAAATAATATCTTTTATCCAGGTATTATAACATTTTTAATTCTATCTTCATCAGGTATCGTATAGGTTATGTTTACAAAAATAAAATATTTAAGTGTGTATATATGTATGTGAATATTATCATTAAAAGATTTATATTTTTTTCAGATAATTTATATTAAAATCAGTTTGAAAAACAAGAAGACAGAATCATTAAATGCAAGTGAAAAATATATGTAAATAATAAGAAATGTTTATCGCAAGACAAATTTTTTTAAAACGAATAAATAAAAAATATTATAGTGATTTTGTGAAAATAGTCGAAGTTGGTCCTCGCGATGGATTACAGAATGAAAAGAAAATTATTCCAACATCAATAAAAGTAGATTTTATCAACAAACTTTCAGAAACAGGACTGCAAGTTGTCGAGGTGACGAGTTTTGTTTCACCAAAATGGGTTCCGCAAATGGCTGACAATGTGGAAGTTTTTAAAGGAATAAAAAAATTTGAAGGAATAAATTATCCAGTTCTAGTTCCAAATGTAAAAGGACTAGAGAAAGCAATTGAAGTGGGTGCAAAAGAAGTATCAATTTTTGGTACTCCATCAGAAACATTCTCCCGCAAGAATACAAATTGCTCGGTAACTGAGAGTATGTCGAAAATGAAAGAAATCATTAATATCGCGAAGAAGAATAATTTAAAAATTAGAGGATATGTCTCATGTGTTGTTGCATGTCCATATGAAGGAGCAATCAAACCATTTGCAGTGGCAAGCTTATCGTCTGCCTTGTTGGAACTCGGATGTTACGAAATATCGCTTGGTGACACGATAGGCGTTGGAACACCGAAAAAAGTCAAGTCTCTTTTAAACGAAATAAAAGAAATTGGTGATTTCAGTAAGTTTGCTCTTCATTTGCATGATACTTATGGTCAAGCTATAGGAAATATCTACACTGGTCTCGACTATGGAATAAGAACTTTCGATTCATCAGTCGCCGGTCTTGGTGGTTGTCCATATGCCGAAGGTGCCACTGGAAATGTAGCCACTGAAGATGTACTTTATTTTCTAAGTGAACAAGGTCTGGAAACTGGAATTAATTTAGAAAAATTAACCAAAGTCGGAGAATTCATTAGCACTCAATTGGAGAGAAAGAATCAATCCAAAGTTGGTAATGCTTTACTGTCTAAAGTAAAAAAGACAAAAATTTGTGTCTGATAAGAATAATTTCACAAAAAATATGGAATATTTCTCCCGGGACCAATGTTTTTAAATATTGTTACTGTTAACAATAAAATACTGTTGCCTATATTTTTATAAACTTTAAGACTGTTTTTAAATATAATGAATTAAATTTATCTTTTGGTAACATAAGATTTATTGACAATTTCCCAATGAAAATTTATCAGATCCATAGTTATTCAAGACGTATACAAATATCTAATTATTAATAAAAATAATCAACATTTGTCTGGTTGATTTTAATAAATGTATAAAATTCTAACATTATAGAAGCATTTTAAATTGTCAAGAACATCTTTATAATTAAACGAAATCAATAAAAAATTAAAATCAAGTCACATTTGTTGTATAAAATAGGAAAACATTTATAAAATTTATCGAATTTTAACTAAAAATAAATTTTCTTTTTAAAAAGTTAAAATCGCTTCGTTGGATAAAAAATAAGTATGTGAAAGAAGCTCGAAAATTTAAGCAAAACCAAGTCGACTATTGGAGCTTACAAGAATAAATTAGAACGCAGAAAATTTTTGAATCAAGTTTCTATTTTTTTGGATAATAAGGTTGATATTTTTCGAGTTTCAAGCTTTTTCCACACCTCTAATAAATAATAACTAATATATACTCCAAGTATTAATAATAATACTTATAGGAATAACGAATAAGCATACCTTACAGTATATTAGAAATGATTTCTAATAAAAAATATTTATTACAAGGAAAATATTTCTTTTTGGATGAGGCGTTTAGTTTATCGGGATATGTTACGTAATATTAGAAAGCTCTTGTAAAATTGCTTGCGTGTCTAACGTTGTGAGATCAATAGAACCTCGAGTATCAATTATAACACCGGTTACCTGGAAAATTAATTTTCAAATTCGTTATCCATGAATTGGAGCTTTATGAGAAAAACAAATATTAGAAAGTACATTTTTAAACTCAGTATTCAATTTCAGAATCGAAATCATTTTTATTTTTATTCTTTCATAATTTAAATACCTAATATTTAAAAAAATATATTCATCTATTAAGTAAGTAATCGATGGTTTAATGAAAAAAATTATCAGCATTTTTTAAATAAAGTTTTACTTTTAAAAACTCACCATTTCTTCAAAAAAGGCCGTGTGATTAGGTTTTTCCGAGTACCTTTCGTACTGGTCTAAATTATCCTGTAATTTAAGTGTAAGACTATCGTAGTTTTGTATAATGACACCTAAAATTTGTTGTTCTGTTGGTGTTGATAGGCTCTCACTTGTCAACCAGGCGGTTATTTTTGGTGGAAAATGATTAACAATATCCCTCATGTTAACCAACGAATTTGTCAATTTAAGAGCGTGTTCTTTGTATTCATAAGATTCAGTAGTCGAAAACCTGAGAGCTGTTGAAACAAAAATAAAGGCAAACAAAATGAAATTATTTATTTTAATTTTCAAAATATCAAACAACTGTTAAATATAAAATCTATTCTTACCCATAGCATTTAAATTTGTAAATATTAACCTCATCCTAATAATTTCGTAAAATAATTCGTCATAACTACTAGGGCTTGATAAAAAGGTATCTCCATATGTGATGAATAAATTTAGAATATTTACGACCTGAACATAATAAATTAAAAATATGTAATGTGTAATACTAGTATTTGAAAATAAATAATTAAATTGATTGTATTTAGAGTAATAGACGTACTTGAATAGCAAGTGGAAAAATATTCATTTTCTTAACTAAATGATTCTCGTGTGTTGTCAAAAATTTTAAAAGATTTATTAAAGCTGTCCATAAGTCCTTCCACTGATACCCAAGTCTTATTCTACAACGTTTTTGATAACACAACAATCTTTGTAAAACACCAATGCAAAGATGATATAATTCTAATGGAAATTTCTTCATCATATGTGATGTAATAAACTCAACAAGTAAATCTGAAAATTTTCAAAAAAGTAAAATTTTAATATTTTACTGAATAGGTAATATTCTGTAATTAAAACCTGGAAATGTCAGGGAATTTTATAAACCTCGAAAAAACCTGGAAAAGTCAGGGAATTTTGGTCGAAATCCTGGAAAATTGTTTTCATAAATAGATAAACTTCAAAAGGTTGTAATTTGAAATTTTGTAAAATTTCAATTTTCAATGAATTTAATTAGAAATAATCTTTTTGAAAAGATTAAGAATTCAAATTCTTCTGAAATTAGTTAAATTTTCTAATTTATATGTAATTGATTATTAAAAATAATGGATTTATACAGAAGAATTTTACTAAAAAACACAAAAAGAAATTCAATTTTAAAGCAATTACAAATTATTGCAGAAATTCAATTATTATCAAAAACTTTCTTCAATTCAATGATTTATAATATCTACTACTTTAATAAAAATTCACAAAAGAATTCAATTATTTAAAATAAAATTCTACGCAAACATTTAATTATTTTCATAAATGTGCGATTCCAAGAGAGATTTTAGTTTTTTCGGAGTAAGTAAACCAATTGCAATGAAATTTAGGAATTTCAATCTACACATAAAAAGAAACATTTTCACCAAATATTACGTCAAAATATTCAGTAGTTTTTGAGATGTCAAAATTTTGGAAAAATGTTGAAATCGTTATATCTTCTTTCCATCTTAACCAAATCACTTGATTCTTTTTGGAAAAAATTCAGCATAAAAAAACGAAAACATTTTTTATATTATGTTTATAAAAAATTTTTATAAACAAAAAAGTTATTAAATAATAATTGAATAACTTTTGGACGACTAAATGAAATTGTATGAGGCAAACACTAAACAAATCTTCGCTGTGGTTTTTTTAAGAATCCGAAAAAAACATGGTACATCACGAAACATTTTTATACAATATTTTAATATTTTTGTTCACTTTTAAGCGTAAACATTAGAAGTTTCTGCTACTTTACGTGCAAATGGCAAGTTGTAATTGAAAGTATTGGATAAAACTGAATTCCGGGATTTTTGGAAAATTCGTGACAAAAAGAATAAAAATCACTACTTTCCTCGCCTTGAATCCTCTTAAATGGCTTCTGATTATTAAGCAATAATTTAGTTGAATTTCCAGGAATTTCGGGAAATCCGTGATCCTTTCGTAATTTTTTTAAAGGGCTGTTAATATTAAAATAAGCAATTAGCTAAAGTAAAAATTTTCGTCGAATAAACGTTGGTAATTTCAGTTTCAGAATATTGGGACGTTGCCCGGCTTAGTAATGGCACATTAATAGCAAAAATTTTGTATCTGCTATGATGGCAAAATACAATTGCCAATATTGGGACGTACCTCGCCCCAATAATATCACAATATCGATAAATAGTGTAGCTTATAGAACCATTAAGCTTTCTTGACTTCATGTCAGAGTAGCAGAGTGAAATAAAAGCCGTATAAATATGATAAATTAATTAGTTAATTAATAAAAAATGTAATAATTTATATTAGTTTTTGTATTTTGCCAATACTGGGTAAGTAATGGCAGTCAATATTGGGCCATTAACGTCTGCCGACGTCCAACCGTAATTAACACCACAAAAGTCGTCCCAATAATATCGGCCAAGACTAGGTGCAAACTTTGCCAGTACTGTGCCGTTATTAAGCCATGATGGTTTTCACACTTAGGGCGCTTTTAAAAATTCTAAACATTATCTTTTTACTTTCCTTAAAATTTTGTTTTCTTCTTCATTAATTAATATTAATAATCATCAAGAATATTAGTTTAAATGTAGTTGGTTAAATACCAATCAATACTCAATATGGAAAACTATAAAGGTACTAAGAAACACGTCGAAGACGGGTATCGCAGCTAGTTTTCTAATATATATATATTTATAATTGAAGAATTTCAGAATAATCAAAATTTCGTAAAATTAAATTGTAAACAAAAAGATTTGAAAATTTTCAAACAACTTTTTCAAAACTTATCTTTAAAAAATTGAGTTGAAGAAGAATTGTAGTTTAAAATTCTAGAAATGAATAACTGAATCATTGAATTGCAAAAAGTTTTTAAAAATAAATAAATTTTACAAAGAATTATTAAAATATTTGAATATTTTTATGTATGAAAATAATTGAATTTTGCAAAGAATTTTATTACAATGCCTCAAAATAATTGAATTTTCCGGAATAATTTTATTTATCGAAATAATTGAATTCTTTCGAAGAATTAAAAAAAACATTTTTTTAAATAATTGTTTTTTTCGAGAAATTAAAATTAAATTTTTAAGAATGATTACATTTTTTAAACAATTCATGTAAAATTGTATTAAAAATAATTGAAATTCTGCGATGAATTCTATTATTTATAAAAATAATTGAATAGTTGCTATGAATGTTATTAAAATTTTTTAAAATAATTGAATTCCTGAGAAGAATTTTATTTTTTATAAAAATAATTGAATTATTGCGAAAATTTTTATTAAAATGTTTTAAAAGAATTGAATTTCTGTGAAAAATTTTGTTATTTCTGAAAATAATTGAATTTTTCATAACAATTTTATAAAAATTGTTTTAAATAATTAATTTTTTCTAAATATAATAAATATTATGAAAAATTTATTTTAAATAATTGAATTCTTGTGGAAAACTTTATTTGTGATAATAATTGAATTCTTGCTTAGAATTTTATCAAAATTTTTTTTAAATTATTGAATTCTTTTGCGAAGTTTTATGAAAATAGAAATATTGAAAATAATTGAATTTCGAATATTTTTTGAAAATAATTAAATCGTTTTAAAGAATTTGATTATAATTTTTGAGAATTGTTTTTTGATTTCTAGTATTAGCGAATTTAAAGTAGTAAAAATATCCTAAAATAAACAGAAATAGTAGTATAGCTTTTAGTAGCTGAAATCTAAAAAAAGTTCCCAAATAGTAGCCTAATGTAAAAAAAAGTAGTAAATATAGTAGGTTTTAGTAGAGGAGTGCGAAGCTTGTAATGTGTTTAAAAAAACAGTAACTATTTGCTATTTCAAGAAAAAAAGCATAATATAAAATCGTATCCTTAAGTGTCCTACATTAAGATAGTAATGATAAAAATTAAATTTATAAAATTACCCAAAAGTGTTGCCGCTAATGGTTGTGTTGGTGCGGCTTTATCTTGGATTTTTCTATGATGCATTGGCATCCTATGTAAATAGACTTTAAATGATAAATTTGCATCGTGCATTAAACTATTTGCATATTGGTCTTCAGAAATGCAGCTCAATATTAGAAAACACAGTTTTACATTGTTCGTTATTGCTTCTGTCCTGATCGCCTGCATAACAATTGAACTGAAAATAATAATAATAATAATAAAGATAATAATAATAATAATAATAATAATAATAATAATAATAATAATAATAATAATAATAATAATAATAATAATAATAATAATAATAATAACAATAATGCAATCTAAAATAAATAAAAATTATTCCGAAAAAGAATTGCAGTTTAAATGAGTGGAAAGTAATAAACAATAAAATGAAATTACCAATATTGAAGAAAAGTTGCAAGCAAATTAAAAGGTTGAGCCATTACATCCGGATGATTAGCACCAGGAGCAGTTGCATTTGGTCCCAATGTATTATTTGGTGAAGGCGGAGCACTTGTATCGGTTTGAGTATACGCCAAAGTGGTTACAAAGTTTCTATTAAGATGTGTAGCTTCATACAAAGCTAAAAGTAGTGCATTATTCGCACGTACTTGTTGGGTTTTTGCTTCTTCTTCGCCAACAAACATATTTCCAACAATGCTCGTCAATGAGGAAAGCCAGGAGGCCTGTACCTCTGCAATTAATTAATTATTTATATTACAATTTATATTTTAGCATATTATGAAGAATTATTTTAATTGCATTCAAAACAAAGTACGGGACATTCTCTGAAAAAAACAATTCAAAATTAAAATTTATTGGATTGACTCGAAACTTTGGTAAATTGTTGCTCTATATAATTATAAAACATTCCCGAAATATTGGCTCATTTAAAAATGAAATATAGAAAGTACTGGGGGTTGAACTTTTGAAATTTGAAGTAAAACTGATGCACTCAAATCTTTATAACTCTGACAAAACTTTAAGGATTTTAATTGTATAGAGAATTTTTTTTGAAGGATTTTTCACTTACTTTTTAAGGAGGTTGTTTACAGAAAAAATATTGAATTGATATTAAAGAATTTTTTATTATTGGTATCTTTTGGAAGAACAAATATCAATTTTCAAGAAAAAAATTTGAAACTTACAAAAATTGTTTATTTAGTCTTTTTGCATATGATCAAAGTTTTCTTCGTATTAAAAGGTTAAACTTTTTCAAAACTGACTCAATTTAAGTCAATGATGGCTTATTTTCTTCAGAAAATGATTCTCTATAACTTGACCGCTCAGATTTATAAACAAATACATCGTTTTGAAAATATGCTTATTTGTTTAAAAAAAGTGATTTAATTTAAAAAAATTTTTATCATAGTTTCGAGTTAATCCAATAAATTAAAAAATTTTGGGTGGCTTCTTTCAGAGAGTGTCGCACACCTGCTTTCTGTTGTGAAAATTGACGACAAAATTCAGTTAATGAACTCGATATAACTTGTCCATATCCATTTAGAGCAAGTTCATCATCTAAAATTGATAGTTTTACAATGTAAGGATTTGCGCTTTCATGTTTTCTGTAATTGACCAGAAGCGTCAAAAGTAAAACTGCATCATTTCCGTGACGATTCCTTGCAGTGGTATCCCTCAGCAACTAAAGAAACAATTAGTTAAGTACAGACGTACAGAATATAAATTAATATGCAATAAAACTAAATTTTGAATTTACTTACTTGAATAAGGGATTCAAAAACACTGTTTAGCATAACATACTCAAGAAGAGTATTTTGACTGACATTATCCATACCAGTAATAATAATTAACAAAAGCTTTAAGCACAGAGCCTTTAAACTATCCGGATATTCGCCTGAAAGATAAACAATCAATTGGTCAATATAATAATTTGCTTTTAACAATATAAATATAGAAAGTAGCAAAAAGAATTGAAATTTTTAAAAAAGGTGAAAAAAAGAAAATTATTTTGACCTGTAAGGAAATTGTTGCAGTGCTGCATCAAGGTTGTCATCCTCTGTTCTGCGGAGTCAAACCCAACTAAAATATCTATCAAATTGAAACCAAATTCACTTTGACTCGCTTTTTTATACATAGATTGTATGACTGCAGCCAATGTTTGAAGGGCGTATACAACACGAAACGGATGTTCGTCAACTAATGTATCTACACAATGACTTACTAAAGAATTTAAATTCTCTCGGCTCGCACTCAATTGTTCCGCTGTCATGTGTAGAATTTCATTTTCAATATGAGAAACCTATAATTTCCCATGATTTTTAATAGTTGTGTAAGCTCAATATTTAAAATAATAAACATTTAAATAGACAACAAACCATTGGCTTGATAAGAAATAATTCGTTCCAAAAATTTGGGTGTGCTGACGTTAGATCCTCTCCCTTGAAAAAACTTTCATAAATTGGAACCAACTTTCCCTTATGTTGCCTTTTTGATCCCGAACCACTTCGTTTCCGCATTGCCATTGCCATTTTGACCCTATACTTATTTATAATATGTATACCATTTGAGAAATCTAAAATAACGTGACAATTTAATTGCAATCTTATCAATTATAACGAAACTATTGTGATCAGAATTATGTACTTTATAATAAAAAGCATTGTACGAGCATATTTTTTTATATTATTAATATTAAAATTACTTGCAAATTTAAAGTTTTTAAGTTATATTCACACTTGGATATGATAGAAAAATGGAAAAATTCTCTATAAAAATATTTATGCTCAAACCTAACCTCAAAAATAAATAAACACAAATAAGGAAAAAGTTATGAATAATAAGTATATAAACTTCAAATTGAATGTCTAATAATTTATAAGCATTTATAAAAAGTACCAGAAGACAGAAATTTGCAATTAAGAAATAATTAAATTTTGACGGATGTGAATAATAAAAATAAACATGAGACATGGGATAAACATACCACAAGTTATACTTTAACGTGACTTTAACTATAACTGAAACTTGTTCAATTCTTTCTTTTCAAGTCAATAATAATTAAATATCAGAAAGAAATTCTATTTACATTATCATTAATACGTCAAATTTGTTTCAATTTCGTTAATCTCACTTTTACACCTTTTACATCACATAAAAAGTTGATGAACCTGTGAAATACTAAATCGCCATTGTAATTTAAAATTATTTATGAGACGCATGCATATCCCCTAATCGCCAAGTCGTCGAATGCCAAGTAATCGAATGGACAAAACGTCGAATGCTAAAAACATCGAATCGGCATTTAGTCGAATGCTTAAAACATCGAATTGTCAATACGTCCAATGTTTAAAACGTCAAATTATCAATTCGTCGAATGTTAAAAATATCGAATCGTCAATATGACGAATGTTCAAAACGTCGAATTATCCATTCGTCGAATGTTAAAAACATCGAATTGTCAATACGTCGAATGTTTAAAACGTCGAATGATAAAAATGTCGAATGCTAAAAACATCGAATCGTCAACATGTCGAATGTTCAAAACGTCGAATTATCAATTTGTCGAATGCTCAAAACATCGAATTGTTAATTCATCGAATGCTTAAATCATCGAATTCTCAATTCGTCGAATGTTCAAAACGTCGAATGCTAAAAACATCGAATCGTCAAAAGTTTGAAAAAGTTCTTTGTTTTAAGTTAATGTCTACTGAAGACAAAGAACAATTCGACGTTTTGAACATTCGACTACTTTACCATTCTACTACTTGGCAATTCGAACCGATGGCGTTTCGACTACTTTACCATTCGACTACTTTACCATTCTACTACTTGACATTTCGAACAGATGGCGTTTCGACTATTTGAGCATTCGACGATTTGAGAATTCGATGTTTTTAGCATTCGACTAAATGACGATTCGATGTTTTGAACATTCGACAACTTTACCATTCTACATTTCTACTACTTGATAATTTGAACAGATGGCGTTTCGACTTTTTGTCCATTCGACTACTTTACCATTCTACTACTTGGCAATTCGAACAGATGACGATTCGACGTTTTGAACATTCGACAACTTTACCATTCTACAGGGCTCGAACCAGTGAAAGTATTTAAAAATACGGACTTTACGGACCAAAAATGAAAAATTACGGACCATTTACGGACCAATTACTGACAAAAATATATAAGAGAACATTTTACTTAAAACTATAAATTAGATTTTTTCATAACTGAAAAACATGAAGATATCGATAACTCCGAGTCTTCGACTCGGAGCGATCGATTACTTCATGTTTTATTATAATTAAAGATAGAATGATAAAATCATTATCAATTCAATTATTATTTTCAAGAATTTTTAACTAAAAATTCTTGATTTTCTAAAAATTCTTCTTGAATTCTTCTTGAAATTCTTCTTGATTTCTAAAAATTCGATTATTTTTAATAATTTTCGAAAAAGTTCTTTGACAATTTTCAAATCCATTTCTTTACAATATTCAATTTTACGAAATTTCAATTATTTTTAAATTCTTCAATTAAATATGTATTAAAAAATAAAAACTTCAAATAATATAAAAAAAATCCGCAATTAAAATTTCTCAAAAAAATTAATTCCACAGAATTGTTAGTTAAAAATATGAAAAATTCAAATTTTCAAAGATTTGAATCTGAAACCTTTTCAAAATTTAATTATTTTTAAATCAATTTTTATCAGAAAATTCTACGAGAGTTTCATTATTTAAATACAAAAAAAACAATTTATTGAATAATTACATATGTTTCTTAAAATTGAATTCTTTTAAAGAATTGTATCAATCAATTTTCAAATAATTTGAATTCTTTTGCAAAATTTTATTAAAATAGTAGATATTAAAAATAATTAAATTAGGGAAAATTTTTGAAAATAATGAAAATTTTGCCAAGAAATTTATTAAATGTTTTGAAAATAATTCAATTTTAGAGAAGAATTTTATTATTTATAAAGATAATTAATAATTTACGCAAAGAATTGCATTAAAAATTCTGAATGCAATAATATTATTCTTTAAAGAAATTTAATTAAAAATTTATTAAAAATAATATTTAAATTGTAATAAATAAATTGTAGCAAAGGTTATTAAAATAATTAAATTTCTTTGATAAATTTTAATAAAATTTTTAAGAATAATTACATTTTTCGAGGAATTCGATTAAAATTGTATTAAAAATAATTGAAATTCTGCAATTAGCTTTATTATTTATTAAAATAATTGAATTCCTAATTGGCGATTCAAACTGTTACGAGCACAAATGTAAATTACTCGCGCAAACGCGATTACTGCTCGGTGATTCGTTGAGTTCAGAATTTGGTTAAATCCTTGATAGGAACCGGGAAATTTCAAATAATAAACGTGAATATTCCGTTAAAACGGAGGGAAAAAGCTCACAAGTAGAATAAATCATTCAATAATTAATAAAATTAATTATTGAAGGAAATCAGTCTTCTTGAGAGTAAACCCAAATATTTATTTACTAAAAGTTCAAGAATACAAGTTATGACTAAGGAAGCTTAGAAGCAACCTTTCTAGTCAATAGTCAACTTAAATCTAATCTGTAGTTACAGTCCAGCGGACTTGTTCTCCGCTGTTAGTCCATGTTGGAGGAAATGCGCATGTTCTAAATGACGCGCATCCCCCACTATACAGTAGTATAGTATAGTATAGTAGTATCCCCACTATATAGTAGATACATTTATGCACTTCACTAATACTAATACCGACTCATACGTCATACTTGTCGATGTTGATACATACACATTCATCATAACATTATGATTCCAATAATTATCACATGATAATTATTTCAATATATATATACACATGCATACATTCTAATAATAATATTTATATTTATAATAATTATATTTACACCTGTACATGACACATACGTGTTACAAATATAGTAAATATTATATAGAATTATACATAGTTAATGGTCATGATAGTTATAACAAATTAATTGTTTAACTATAAAGCTTGAATGTAGTTTATTTACAAGTCTTAATTCATTATCAATTATATTATAATAATTGATTAGATGTTAGATTGATAGAAATAATCTAATATGCAAATTACAATTATTTATAAAAGTAGTGGAATAATTAACATTTCTAAAAAGTATTGAAAACTGGGTTTTTCCAGTACGTGATTTTATCCTGAGAAAAAGGATAAAATGTACGTTGGTCAACCGATGTGTTTTATGGTTTTACCTCCAAAGAGGGTCTACTTGAGAATTGAAAGACAGTTTTTTATGACATCTTTGGGGTTATCTCTCTTAGTTTATGGTTGACAATTGTGTTTGAGTTTTAAGGGTATATTGTCTTCAGAGTGACAATACACAAACTCATATTGCTGGAAATGTGTTTAAACCTTACTATTTTTTGTAGCGATATTTTCAAAGACACTGTGTCTGCGAAACATATGTATTTCATCTTTTGTTATATTTCGGCTATTGATAGAGAGATATTTGAAGAATACAATATTTTAGGAACATATTTACTAAATCGAACGCAGAAAGTTCTTCTCAATCTATGGACAGGATATTATTTTTTAAAATATAAAATTAATATTATATTTTCCCGCGACTTTTAATCGCATTTCGATTAATATCAAATCACGATTCGAGCGAGATAATAGTCGCTCGTTACACCTTCCCCCTTAATAAAAAAGAATAATTGATTATTCGAAAATATGATAATAATAATTATGCTTAAAGTGATAAAATATCTATCTTATTTTATTTTTTTTTTGTTTTATTTTTATTTATTTATTTATTTATTTTTTATTTATTTATTTATTTCTTTTTTTTTTATTTTTTTTTTATTTATTTATTTTTTTTTATTTATTTATTTATTTATTTTACTTATATATATTTATATATTTAAAGAAAAAGAAATTTACGCAATTTATTACCGCGAATTGCGCAACCAGTAAAGCTGTCACGTCCCACCTTTGTGGTAGTAACCTTTATTTTTGTAAGAAAAGTTAATTGATTCGAAAACTCTCAAATAAACACAAGTGTACCCTGTAAAATGGTGGGAAATTCAAATGTTACTTTAAATGAAATAACAACTTAAGTTTGTTCAAAGTAGATGCTTTAATGATAAAGTTAGTTCGTCGAGGTTTACAAGGAGTAATTGATTACGTCTCAATTTACTCAAAGAGTGCTCGGAAGTATCTGGTTTGTAGTTGAGGTCCTCTGGTCCCATGAGGTCCTTAGCTCCTTCGAGTAGAGGGGATGAACTATCCCCTCCTACGAGTATCCATGTGACTAGTTCGAGTCCTTGCGAAAACTACAATGGTTTAATTCATTCATACTTATACAAAATAATTTGTATCCGATATCAACAAAATATCAATAATAATAATATCCTAAATAGTACAAATTAACATTTGTAAAATTATGATTAATCAAATTACATTAGTAATTTGATTCAACGTTGACGAAATTACATTAGTTGTGATGCACACATTTGTCAAATTTATAGATATTGAATCAAGTTTACTGGAGGTATCATTTAATAAACAGTTGTACTTGTGGTTACATACTAATTGACAAACATTCAATTAATCTAAAAATGAAATTATATTTAAGTATAAAAACGCAACTTTCTCTTGAAAGTTTTTAGCATTACTCATGGGTTTTTCCCAAAGGAGGTATACATCCCTTTTTTATTGCAGAGGCTCGGTTGGGACCTAAATCCGATGGTCGTTATTTTATGATTACCACATGCTAGGTTTTGCCAGTTTTTTGGAAGTAAAAGTTTTTCTTTAAGAAGACAATTTAGATATTTGTTAATCCTTTTATTATATTATTTTTTGTAGACTGCGTGACATTTTCTGTTTTTCCGAGATTATAACCTAATTGTATTTTTCGAAGTCATAAACTTTTATTTTTGAGTGTAGCAATTATTTCTATCGAAAAGTAGATACATTTATTTCAGACACAAATTCATCTGAGTTATTTTATAAAAGAAAATACTTGTTTAAGTAAAGATGAATTAATTTGAATGTGATATGTATTTTACCGCGCTATAGCATCTAGTGAGTTTCTGGTAATGTAGATTTTACTCTAGCAGACTAGCGGAATACATGTGAATTTAGGCCTGCCGTCACACCTCCCCTTTTACACAAAGAAAAGGTGTTGAAAGAGAAACATCATTTTC